GGGAGGTGGCGAGCGCCTTTGGCCTGGCTGGGCCCAGCGTGGCGGGAGGTGGGATGGATGGATGGAGCGGGGATGGAGGGGGAAGGGAGGCAGAGGTATGTGAGGAATGTGCCCAGGACAGATAACCCCTTCCGCTGGGTGCTGGGTGCTGGCCGCTGGCCGAGCACACCTCCTGGGGACGGGGCTGGGGGCTGCTTTTGTGCAGGAAATGGAGGATGAGCAGGGGGAGCCATCCCCTGGGGAGCTGGGCTGGGGACAGCCCTGCCAGAGGAGCGGGGGAGCACGGCTCCGTGAACTCTGCCAGAATGCCCAGGCACCTGTCCCCATGGCCCCCGGGACTGGTGGCAGCGGGTGGATGCTGGGTGCTGGGCTTGGTGTCTCTCCTTGTGCCTGGGACGCAAAGGGGACAGGCAGCAGGCAGGTTTGGGGACGTGGCAGGCCGTGGGCCCCGCCTGCAGCCCGTGGGGACAGCCCCGGGGAGGGGGTGCCAGGGGGGGCTGCCTGCGCCTGTGGCTTCCCAGGGACTCAGTAGAGCCTGTCCCCATGGCTGACCCTACAGCTGCCTTAGTTCACTGTTGCCAAACTGTGTGACAGGCAGGGAAACTGAGGCACGGGAGAGAGGTGGCAGGAGCCGTGCGTCCCTGCCCCTGCTCTCGCCCCCCAGGCTCTGCCTGTCCCCAGCCCTCCTGACGTGCTGCTGCCCTGCCCGCAGGTACCTCCCCGGCCGCCAAGATGTCCAGCAAACGCGCCAAATCCAAGACCACCAAGAAGCGCCCGCAGCGTGCCACCTCCAATGTCTTCGCCATGTTCGACCAGTCGCAGATCCAGGAGTTCAAGGAGGCCTTCAACATGATTGACCAGAACCGCGACGGCTTGATCGACAAGGAGGATCTGCACGACATGCTGGCTTCCCTCGGTGAGGGACCCTTCCCTCCTGCCGCCACGTGTCCCTCTGCCCTCGGCAAGCGGGCAGAGCTGCTGGGGGACACGGTGCCTCGCGCCCGGCGTTGCAGAGCGCCTTTGGGGGATGCCACTGAGGCACAGCTCCACGCTGGCTGCAAAACTGGGGGTGGGATTTCTCTGCTGGTGCCAGCTGACTGTAGCAGGTGCGTTTGCGGGGTCCCCCGGGGCAGCGGCTCGGTGGGCTGCTCCTACCGCCGGGCTCGCCG